AGGGATATGTCCCAGAATCAATCAATATGGATGTGTTAAAGTAGAAAAATAGGTTTTCTTCCACTTTCAGCGATAATGATGATCAGTGAACAGGGAGATATCTGTGAAGAGCAGTAAGATAAAGGAGATACTTCTCTCCTAACCCTTCTAAACACTCTCTCTCCTATTCTCTCTCTCTACCTTCAGCTTCACTCTCTCAATCCTTCACTTTAAACACACCTCAAACTGATGAAGACGTTGTGAGATTGAGATGGAGTGCAAATGGCTGTTCCGTGCCACGCTCCTTTCTGTTACATAATTAATCTACATACAGCATGTAGAGGTGCGGCCCACTGTGGAGCTGAAATATTTATACAAATGAACCAGGCAGCCCAACAACACAAACACAACCCCTACACTGGGCTGGATTGTATTTACACACAATCACACACAGATGCCTCACAGCATAGCTCCACAGCGAAAAGTGAGACGTCTGTGTAGATGCAAATAGCAGGCGTTTTGCTTTGAATGGAAGGAAGTGGTAGACAGGTCACACAGATAATGACAGACGATAGGAGTGAGTAAAGAGAATAAGAGAGGAGAATGAAGTGTGTTTGAGTCGGCAGTCCCCGCAGGCTGGCGACAGGCCTCATCTGTAATGTAATGTTGATCTATCTATTGTCGGCGTGCCAACTAAGCCCAGAGGCCGCTATTGATTATTATAGGGTGAAAAGAGAAGCTGAGGAAACAGAGCGGGACAGCTCTGCTGAGTTTACACTCTTAAACACTGTCACACACCCAGGCTTTTTCTCTGTCACACACACACAAGCTGCTCTTACGCACTGTCATGTACCAGAGCTCACACAGTCTATGAGAAAACAGTCGTGCTCCTGTTAGTGAATGTGACTTTTACAAGCAGCAAGAAATAGCGTTAGTGGGGGAATGTCTCTGCTGACTTTCACACGCTGCCTCCAGAGGGAGTCGTCTGCCAGCAGCGTGTCAGCACTGTACCAGCATGCAGGCTAGATTTGGAAAATTACTGCTCCACCTCTGAGGAGACGTGACAGGTCAAGTTCAACAATGCATCTGCAGGCATAATGGTGCCAACTTGGTGGATCATCTTGATTATTTGCCCACATCACCTCAGCTTCAACGTGGGTAGCCTCATAGCACTGATAATACAAAAGGTTAACACCCAGCATGGTGATATGATGACAAAACATTACTAAACACCTGCAGTACTGAAACTGTTAGACTCACTATTTACAGAACACCTTGTTTTAACAGCATCTAACCTTCTAGCTCTAAAAGCAATGTTTCAAGATTTCAGGGAAATACGCTCATTGATTTTCTTTCCAAGAGTGAGAACAGAGGTCGACTAAAGGTCCAATGTGTGGGAATTAGTGGCATCTAGTGGTGAAGCTGCAGATTGCAACCATTTAAATACAACTCAGCATTCCGAGCATAGGAGAAACTACGATGGCTGCAAAACTGGCAAAAATGCAGAAGGCCCTTTCTAGAGCCAGTATTTGATTTGTCTGTTCTGGGCTTCTGTAGAAACATTTTGTTTCAATGTGGCGGACTCCGCAGAAGATGACCCCTCCCTCTGCAGATAAAAACGTCTCATTCTATGGTTATGAAAACACAACAGTTCCTATATTCAGGTGATTACACACTAAGGAAAACCTACCTGTGAATATGATATTGCATTTCTGCCAAATGTTACACACTGGACCTTTAAGTAAGGAATCTGAGGACGGAAAACCAATGAACTACATTTCTGTTTGAATCTAAGCTCGGCCAATTGCCACCATGGCACCAGCTTCACACTGAACATGTGAAAGCGGTAACATTCTTCTCATCTAACTCTGGAAAAATCAAATAAGAGTACTCCCAAAATGTTAATGGCTAAAAAACATTTAAAGAAGCCAGCCCCCTAACCTTGCGAGGCAGCTGGACTCAGAAGATCACTAAGTCACACAAGAATACATCTTGCCAGGCTACGTCATGAGCTATAGGCATGGTTTGACACTAAGTGTGTGTGAGAAATTTTAATATTTCTGCAGACTGGGGTCCCTAAACAGTGTTGGTATTGCATTAATTCGGAATGAAGTAAATCTAAGACACATACTTAATGCATAAATCCGCGTCCCACTTATGCCACTGCAGTCAAAAAAGTCTGATGCTGTTAGCATCAGTTATTTCATAAATGGAGGGTATTTCTTCATTGAAAGAAGAGCACCAAACACAAAAAACGGCACTGAAAAGATGTTCTTGCTCTGCCGACCTTCTTCAGTCCATCCAGTCACCTGACGAGTATTTTTCCCTGCCCTTTCGCAAACAGTTTCCAACAATAACGTCTCAGATGGTTCTGTGTAACAAACCATTCCCTCAAGAGTTGGTGAAAAACAAAAACAGAGCTAAAAGAGAAGAGACGTTCAGCATAGGAACTTTATGAGTTGATAATATGTCATTGTTGTGTTTACAGCTTGTTGCGCTGCTCCCAAGTGGCCAAACAAATAATGCAAGTTTAAAGTGCAGTTATTCGAATTGAGCAGAATGAGACAATCTAGGTTGTCAACTACACAGCTAGTTGCATAGAACTTCCTCAGCAATTTTTTTTAACCATTGTTTCTTCTCAGTAGGCCCCTTTTCACAGCAGACATTTTGACATGTTGTAGCAGAAAAAGCACAGGTGTAACGACTGCATTCCACGTAGATGCTCCACTCAGGAACCATCCTTAATTTTATTAGGTACACATGTGTTCCTCCTGCTATGATAACTTAAAACATGAATGACCACGTAGCGCTTGTAAAACGCACCCACATTCTCTTCACAGAATTTCAAAAGCAGTAGTCAATTGAAAACCATTATTAATATTCTTCATGTGTGAAAAGCTGT